GGGGGGGGGGGGGGAGAGGAGGGTCGCCCACCACGAAACCGTGTAATCTGCAGCGTGACTATTAGTCGTAAGTCAATAATAAAGCCCTTGTCCCACTACGGCCATTCTAGTTGCGGTGAATTATCCAGAGGTGGATTGAGGGGGGGATAGGTGTATGGAAGGGCATTGTCTACCTAGGGCAACGTTTTGCGGCAATAGAATTGTCAGCGCTGAGGCCAATACTCACCCATTGCCTCTCTATGCCAACCTAATTGAGATGGATGTTCTCCGACGACTGAGCTTTCATTTGCCCTCTTCCTTTCGGCTCTGTGTTCACGTTTTTTCATTCATTCGCTCTTTTTTCTTTTCAATTTCTGGATCTGTCAAGTTCAGTGCTTTCATTTGGACACTTTCAATGAAGTTAATCTTGATTTTTGTTTATTTTTTTTGCGTGAAATAATTAAGTTGGGATGAAGAAATATTTTTTTGAGTGACAAGTATCGATGGAGAGCAGTAGCGAGTACATTTGCACGGAGTATTTTTTCAAAATATGTATGAGTCAAGTACACTTGCGCAAGTATACTTGCCTTGATTTAAGTGTACTTGATGTAAATTAACTCAAAATGTACTTGATTCAAGTGTACTTGATGTAAATTAACTCAAGTACATTTGCGTCAAGTATAGTTGTATCAAATTTACTTGGATCAAGTACACTTGCAACGAGTATACTTGTGCCAAGTACGCTTGCATCAAGTACAGTCGTGTCAAGTACACTTGCGCAAAGTACAACCCCTCCAACTCCATTTCCAAAAAATCCATCAGTACAAATCCGCCTCATGCCTCATTCAGAATAAGATTTCTCTTTTCGTTGAGCTTTTCTCACGAATTATCGAAGGGATTTCATTCTCTGAAAGCCATAAACTGAAGACGTATCCTTCCACGGACACTAGATACGGATTAGACGGGAATACAGGGTTGAGAGGGGTTAAGAGGAAACTCGCGTGGGAAAAGTTTCTCAGTTGTACAAAGGAAACAAGTGAAACTGTGAGAAGTTTTTGGAGAAAGCAGAGACGAAAGTGGAAATGGCGGAAAGGTAATTTCAGGTGGGATACTTTGGTGATGTTGGAACGTGACGCATGGTCCTTTTGTGAGATATTCTATTTGGGAAAAATGTCTTGGATAAGCCGCACTGGATACTTGATTACAAACATCAGAGGAGATAAAATGAAATAAATCGCGAGTATCGGGGGTGGAGATTCTTTAATAAAGAACACAATGTGACGCTTTTGTCGCAGTACTATTTCGCGGGTTCAGAGTCCCATTTTATTCGGGAAAAATATCCCGGTGGTGGTTCATGAGGAGAAGGATTGCGGTGTTAAATCGCTCAAACGATTCGCGATGGAAAATTAAATGAATATTCAAAATGGGCTTTTTAACCTCTTTTTCTGTTGTATTATTTATAAAATCCCAATTTTCAAGGGGTGGGGAGGGGGCGGCATTGATCCTGGCGACTGGCACAGCGTCAGAGGAGATCGTGAGAGGGTACCACAGAGAGAATAACGGCCAGGTGGTCTCTGGAGAACCCTCAGCGACACAAGAGTGGATACGGAGAGGTCTGGGGAAAGCCCCCCCCATAGCTACGGGCTCATTTGAATTCGACGCTCGATAATGTCCCCGAGGACGAGGAAATACCAGCTGGAAAATACCACGATATATTCTGAAGGCCTTCGTCAATGGAATTTTCACTATTGAAATCCAGAGAAAATGTTTGAGAAAATGTTTTTCATTCGTTCAATAATTAACTGGAATTCCCTTTGTCATCAATGAACTTCTCCCAACAGTCAGACCTCCATCAAAAAATATATAATATGGGCCAATTCCATATATTTTATATATATATTTTTTAATATATAAAATAATAATAACATGAAACGAATTGAAACGAATTTATTTTTGTTTTATAATATTATATATAAAACAAAACCATGTTGTTTTACATATTTTTTTAAATATATAAAATATATGGTTTATATATTTTTTTTGTTGAAATTGGACCAATTCAAAATATTTTTTATATACTCTTCAAACTATAAATTTTTCCGCGCGGGTAATCTCATTCATGATGAAGTAAAGGGGAACAATTCAGTTGAGAATGAGACGGCGAACGATCAGGAAGTCTCAACCATTTCAATCGTCTCACCGGAAATCATCTCCTCATTTCATTTCTTATCATCGTGAAAATTTCCCCAGTGGTGAATGAACAGAGTTACTTGAATGTTAAAGTAAACGATTTGAAGTGAGACAGAGGGTGAGGCTTCGGTACGTGCCTTTATCCACGACCTACGGGCGCAAATTCCTGAAATGGAACGACATCCCTGCCGGGCGCATAACTAAACTAATTTCCCGATCTCTGAAGCCAAACCGTGGTGTTCAACCGGGAAATCGCTCCCGGCGAATGTTGCTCTTTCCCATGATTTCGGGGGGTTGGCGGGGACCAGGGGCGGGGGGATGTGGAGATGTGGGGTTTATCGTATAGATCGACAGGTGGAGAATATTCGCTAAAGGGTGGTGTCTTCAAGACGTCCCAATTTATCCGAAAACATGATGTTTGATAGTCAAGACGTCATTACTTGTGCATTTTCCTTCAACTTATTGAAGTTTAGAATTTATTGAGCATCGTTGGAAGATCAGAAGGGCGTAAAAATGTTTAATGTTATTCTAATATTTAATTATTTTCCTAACTGCCGTCAAATTTTGCTTCATTATCGGTGAAAAAATTATTGGCTCTTCTGAATGAAGGGTTTGGAAGAAAAATAAGACAAGTAGTTTGAAATAATAGACTTAATGTCTTAATTTAAGACACTAGATTTTTTAATGTTCTAAATAATCTGTAAAATTGATTTGAGACTCACTTGGGAGTCTTCCTCGGTGAAAATGGCATCGAACGCAAACATCTTAGGTGCTGCGACCGTCGGCCTTCTGTCCTCAGCTGTTGAAGATTGTCCAGCCGTCGGATCCACCAGTGTCACTTGCTTTTTTCGCTTGTCAGCGTTGAAGAAACTCCCTCCCTCGCCCGATGAAACCCTCAGCATCACTTTGACCTGGAAATATGAATGATTAAGTCTCATTAAACAATCAAATTATCGGGAGAACGAGACCTCGGGTTCGTTCACTCGTTGAGGTAATTCTGGGGAAACCATAATTAATTAATTATCAATTGGCTGTGAGGGAGAGTGAAAAGACGTTTCGTTCGGATATTGAACAATGGACTCGTTAGAATCAACTGACTGGCAGTTTCTGACATTAATTAACAACCGCACCAACCGCTGGAATTTGTTTTACCTACCGGAGTTAACGAACTTTCGGGGCTTTCGTTGCCTCGGATGATTTCATTCTCCTTCTCGGGGTATTTTTACTCCTTTTATCAGTCTTCGGGGCATTCTTTTTTCTTGGGGATATCCTCACTTCATCTTTTCAACTCTTTGCAGCAGTTTTAGTATTTTATCATTTTTCTTTTTTTTTCTTTTGAAATTTCATCATTTTATTTTTATTTGAAGCTCAAGAAAAAGTCAAAATTTCTTTAAAAAATTAGAAAACTTTTTGGGGCGAAACTGTTGTTTCTTTTTGTCGTAAATAATTTGTGAAGAATCAATTAGTCACGTGAATGAGAAGTTTTTTTACTGAAAAAAGCAATTATTTCCTCCCAATACTCAAAAACTTATTAATTCCTCATCCCCCACCTCCGGCGAGATCCGAAATTTCGCGAACTCAATCTCGCGGAATCGTGCGGTTACGTCTGTCTGTGGGATATTTTTTACCCCACGTGAGTCACCATAAACGCTAGAACTCGAGTGTACACTAAAAGGAAATTGGGTTTTCGCGAGTTGAAATGAGATTTCCCCGGGTGTTGCATATATTCCATATCGAGAAGACGTCAACAACTGCATTTCTTGACGAAAAGGCAAACATCGGAAATAAACACGCGCCCCTCCCTTATCTCTCTAAAATCCTATCAATTCCCTTGACTTCCTCCTGTCAAAATCCCCGAATCTCCATTTTCTTTATTAAAGTCCCCCTCCGAAGATGCAATAAAAAAATCTTATTCCCATGTAATTACAGTGATAGCTCGTAAACTTGATTTAATTTGATATGAAAAGTCATAAAGTTCCATATTTCCTAGTGACATAAACCGAGTCCAACCCAACTTATTGGAATTCTTTACAGCTTTGAAACGAGGATTCGTAAAATTTTAACGGTTTCTCCGGGATATGGTGGACTCGAAATGACGATATAAATGATGTGTAATAGTACTCAACCCCATATGAAATTTTTTTTTATTTCCAACATAGAAAGAATCCGGGAAACTGCGTAGAATGCAGTTGAAGGACAGGGAAGATTTTTTGTTCCCACAGTAAAAATTTTTTATGGGAAGAGCAAAAATTCTTTTTCTCTCGGATGGAAGTATTGTAGGTAATTTTTTAAACTGAAGTTCACAGATTTTTGGGGTAGAATAACCCATTTTGGGATCAGGGAGGCATAAATTTCACAACTTGATTGAATTTTTCATGGAACATTAATATTTAGAATCAAAATGTCATGAATTTTGAATTTTTCATAGAATAATTGAATTGGACAATCAATTATTTTATTGATTTTCACATCATTCGACCAGAAAATCAAAGGAATATTTGATTTTTCAATAACGAGATTTCCCAAAATTTCAGAGGAAATTGAAAATGGTAAAAATTCCTGGGATATGACACAGAAAATTCCGACGAAATTTGTTAACAGTGTACTAATTTAGTCCCAGTGAACAGAGGATTATTGCGTCAATATCCGGATAACATTAAAGTTATCCCGGAATCGACGACAAAAACTTTCTCCAGCGTATGGTTCTCCAGCGAATAAATCTTTTATTTCCCCCTCGGCATGCTGATCACGTACGTAACAACTTTTTCAACAAAATGTTCGTCATGTTCTTTTCGTATCGAAATAAAATAAATACAAACTTGCAGGTGGAAGATGAGAAACTAGCGGGGGATGGAATTAAGTCCAGAGAAACTTCATACAATGGCTACCTAGGGCAATGAAGCAGTGAGCAAGGTTTAACGGCGTTGAAGGGATAGGGCCATTCGGAGACGAAACTTTGATGATTCAACGCTGGATATAGCTGTTGGCCGGCGCTGTACAGCCCCTGGCCAGGCGCCTCGTGGTGGAAAACCACCTCAAACCCACGCATCTGTGGGAATTGAATTCTCAGGTAGTTGGTTTGTACCTTACGGGTAAAGATATTGCTCGGGGTAATACCGCTTTTCGTCGTATAAAGGGCGAGGGCGGGGGGAAGAGGGGCAGATCGATTTCGCTAATCGGTTTGAGAGACTAAATTATATACAGCTATTAGCGCATTGTACTGTGCGACAATGCGGCTTCAGCGGCAATTAAATTTTGGGACTAGTCGGGATTATTTCAAATATCAAAATGATCTCGTCTAGGTCTGACGGATTACGCATCCGATCATCAACTGATTTTTATAGTTGAATTTTAGAGTTCTAATAAAAATAAAAAATTAAGTAATAAAATCATTTTTCTTAAATTTTTACATTTTGGTATTGTTGGGAAAAACAGGACGAATTATCAGTTTCGGGAAATGCGAATAAATCACCGAAGGCTGGGTTTAATGCAAATCAACGCATTGTTCAAATTTTTGAGAAAATTAATTAATAGTTGCACTTGAATTTTCGATATTGTGAATTTTTAGGTGGGAAATTCAGAATAATTTCGTGGGAATGAGTGATTGTTGAAAAATTCAAGATTTTTTTAGCTGAAACTTCAGGATTAATTTTCTAACAACGCGATTTCCCTAAATTTCCATATTGATTCCCAAATAACTCTTTATATAATATTTAAAATCATGAAATATTACCGTGACTAAAGGGAAATTTCACGTAGTAATTAGTTGTTGTCATTGTGGAATGTGTTATCGGTCGAATCGACGAGCTTTATCCATCAATTCCCGATTTATTTTTACCTCCACAATATGCGACACCGATAAACTGTCAATAAAACCCACACATTCCGGCTCAATGTAGATTTTTGTCTGGTTCTCTATCAATGCGCACGAATTCGGGGGAATATGGAGGGGTGTTTGATAACAGGGAAAATAAAAATATTTGCCAGCCTGGATTAACCGTTTTACCGATGACTAATAAAAATATCGCGAGTGAAACATCGGTGATGCGAGAGGCTCGCTGTATTTTTGGGGGTGAGTGGAGTGCATTGGGAGTAAAAAAATTTAAAATATTGCAAAATTAGTTTTGCTTCAAATCCGCGAGATTTTGTATCATCAAATTTGCGAATTAAATTGGTGAAAAAAAATTCCAATTTCTTCGAAATTCCTCATTCCTCTCTGTGTAATTACTGGGGCAGAACGGGTCTTCTTATCGAGACCTCTTCATATTCAAAACATCGAGAGATTTTTCCACTAGTCCCTGCGAATTAAAAAAAAAAATCCGATTCATCTCTTTATTTAATTCTTCCCCGAAAATTAAAAATATCGCGGGTGAAACATCGGTGATGCGAGAGGCTCGCTGTATTTTTGGGGGTGAGTGGAGTGCATTGGGAGTAAAAAAATTTAAAATATTGCAAAATTAGTTTTGCTTCAAATCCGCGAGATTTTGTATCATCAAATTTGCGAATTAAATTGGTGAAAAAAAATTCCAAATTCTTCGAAATTCCTCATTCCTCTCTATGTAATTACTGGGGCAGAACGGGTCTTCTTCTCGAGACCTCTTCATATTCAAAACATCAAGAGATTTTTCCACTAGTCCCTGCGAATTTAAAAAAAAAATCAGATTCATCTCTTTATTTAATTCTTCCCCGAAAATTAAAAATATCGCGGGTGAAACATCGGTGATGCGAGAGGCGCGCTGTATTTTTGGGGTTAAGCAGAGTGCATTGGGAGTAAAAAAATTAAAAATATTGCAAAATTAGTTTTGCTTCAAATCCGCGAGATTTTGTATCATCAAATTTGCGAATTAAATTGGTGAAAAAAAATTCCAATTTCTTCGAAACTCCTCATTCCTCTCTGTATATAATTACTGGGGCAGAACGGGTCTTCTTCTCGAGACCTCTCCCTATTCAAAATATCAAGAGATTTTTCTAGTCCCTGCGAATTTTCAAAAAAAAAAAATCCGATTCATCCCTTTATTTAATTCTCCCCCGAAAAATGTTTTCCCCTCCATTCACAATGTAAATCGCCCGAGGATATAAACTTTGAGGTGGAATTCAGGGGAATCTCATCTGCACAGCAGCGTAAAACGAGAGTGGAGGAGGCGAAATGCTCTCGGAGATTATCCGACGATTGCAGACAGTCTAAATAATCTTTGGTAGGTTACAGCGGTGCATGAAAATGTACGGGGAGCCCTCAAGGAGTGGAGAAGTGACGTTTGAAGGGGCAACGGAGGGGCCGGGGGAACAACCCCTTCGTTAAAGCGGTAATAACAGCATCATTGGACGGCCCGAGGCGCTACCGTTGAATTTAGCTCGGGACTAGTGTGTGCGTAACCTCGCAATGTCTCCGGGAAAATCAACCCCCTCAGTTTTACGGGTTCGTATCGAGTTGCGTATCTGAGTGTCACTGCCTCTGGGCCATCGAGATGGTCTCGGTGAGAATTTATGATGAGTAACGCCTCCGGTGAATCGAGTCAGTGGGAATTTTCTACTGTAAAATGGGTCAGGGTGTGTTGGGGGCTTCGGGGAGGGTTAATGTCGTTTTTTTTTCATCATGCATTAGGAATTCCGTCTTATCTCAGCGTCATTTGAATTTTTATTGGCGGTGATGGAAATGTTTTTTTATTATGAATTGCAATTTTACATTTTAATAGTTTTTTTTTTACTTTTTTCATCTTTCATTTTATTATCATTATTTCGTTCATTGAATGCATACTTTTTTCATTTGTCAGTTTTTATTTCAAATGAAAAAATTGAAAAATTGTGACTAATGAAAAATATTAATTAATTAAATTATCATCGAACGATGGATGAGTTTTTAAAATAAAGAAAGGAATGGTTCCTTGGAATGAAAAATTCATGTGGAATATTT